ATAGACGAACGCGCGGATAGATGGATAGCTGGCCGAGGAGGAGACGGAAGGGGTGCTGCTCTCCGATAGGAAACCGCGGCGTGCTCGATTTTTCCGAGACAATGACTGGAGAGCGTGCGGTTTCGAAGTACGCGCGGTTCGTGCCGAGTTTCGAAACTCGAACACGATTTCGCCGGGAAAAAGAGTCGCGAACGAAACACGGAAAAACGACGAGTCGATTTAGAAAGCGGGGAGCGAACCGTATTCCCATTCCACGTGGACGAAAGGTCGTGCGTCGAGGGCCGCGCGGATTCGAGAGTCTCTCGTAGATCGGATCGCTTTCTAAATTTATACGGGAACCGTGAACCGTCTTCCATCGGTTGCCAGAACGATCGCGAACGAGGGCAACGCCGCCGAGACGCGCGTTTCCCGGCGCGCGATACTCTGCGATTTCGTAATCGAAATGCTCCCCGTTCGAGCCTATCCGAGCGGCCGAACAAAAAACGGGTGCGACCGTCACGTTTTAGTTGCTCGAGGCGCGCTAACGGGGTTAACGCCGCTGACGGGGCTAACGGCGTTAACCGGGGAACCCGAAAAGAGTACAGGCGAGAGAAGGACGGCTGGAGAAAAAGGGAACAGGGGAGAGTTTCCTCCGAATCGATGACGAACGAGCTGCCGGGGTTCGTCCCTTCCCTTTCTACGAGTACGAGTACACGTACGAATGCGAAATGCGGCTGCAACCTAAACGATTATTTCCTCGAACTCGCGAGCAGTTATATTGTCTTTCGAATCGATCGAACCAACGGAAGAGTAAACGCTCGAACGAGATGCGGGACGCGTCGTTATCTCTCAGGAAACACTCGAACGCGTGCTCGCGATGCGACGAGAACGGCGAACGCGCTCGAGACGAACAGGCGGATGGTGTCGTGGCCATTGTAAACGATTCGATTAAACGACGTCTCAATCGAGGCCGATTAAGTGCCAGTGTTCGGCGAACCTTGCCAGAACAAATGAAACTTCTATGTGTACCGTGTACAACATTTTCAGAGGCGATTCAACGTCGAGGCGGCGTTTCCAAGGTATTCTCGACGGTACTACGTATCGAGAAACGCTTAGCTCGCCTATACCCGGTTGCTTGTCTCGCGGCGGTTCGCTCGGACGTGTTTACCTCGAAACGTTTACGAGGGGTCGAGGAGAAAGGGACGCGCCTCGAGCCGCGTTCGATCGCTCCACGATCGCGAACAGTTTTCAACGAACTTCGACGGTGTTCCTCTTCGAAAGAATATCAGGATTTCTTTCCGCGACGATCGCGAAAGGTTCGTCCGAAGTGGGTTGCTTTTGTCGCTTCTGTCGCCGGACGAGCAAAGGTAAACGAAGAAGATCGCAGTCTCGGTTTAATGAAAACCTCGGCGCACCGTGATTCGTGGACAAGAGGAACAGAGGAACGCTCGACGAGCCTGGTTTTCATTCGACGCATCGCGGCGCCTTCGTTACAGAAAACGGGCATCGGTTGGAGCAGTCTAGCGATTCGCTCGTAGTCGCGACGGATCGTTCGCGTTCGAGGTTGCGCCGAAAAGGCAGGAGGCGTCGCGTTTACGCGGAATTCCGTTCCAGTTTCCTCGCCGGTGAACATCGTTGGTTGGGGTGCGCTGAAAAACGAGATATCGCGGTAGCGGTGTCAGCCGACTCGACTCGCGTCGAAATGAAAAGGGTGCTCGCAACCCCGCCGCGGCGTCTACTCTTCTCCCGATTGTTCCGGAGGCATTCGGAAGAGGACGAATCGCGCGAGTCGCGACTTTACGAAACGTCAACGTTCGAAAGATCGACAGTTGATAAGATAGCCCTAGCCGTTTGATATTTTTGCAGACGGAACTCTCGCAGAATTTGCAGCAGCTGTCGGAGAGGGCACGCTCGACGACGGAATTCATTCAGAGGCTCAAAGGAATGACGGACAAAGTGCACGTGAGTATTCGCCGTTGGCGTCCTCTTTATATTTCGCGTCGGAGACGGCTGGAGAGGGATGGAGACGGGAAGGGAAGACTAGTTCCATGAAATTACGGAAGGACGCCGTGTTAATTGCACCCGATACCGCCACGCTCCCGCCGTCTCCGCCGTCTCCGCCGTCTCCGCCTTCTCCGCCGATCCATCCGGCAGCTCCTTCGTGTTCGTTGGTAGACGGACCAACGCGCGGCCGACATTACGCAGGATACAAACTCTTACCTCGTCCCGTGGCGGAGGAAATGAATTACATTTGACGACCTAATAACATGCTCGCCTCCTCGGTTTTTTGTGCTCCCGCGCGAACGGAAGCAGCTTTCTCGGCTTCCCCGTCGTACAAATTACCGAGACGTATAGACGCGTCGCGTTCGAAAGATCGCCGATGAAAAGAGTTCAACGACCGTTTCGTCGAGCGAATGAAATTTCCGTTTCGTTTCGGAATCGCGTCGAGGCGACGTTGTGACACGGTTTCGCGTCGATAGGAGGAGTGCGTGGCTCTGGAAGAAGAGGTCGAAGACAGAGTGGCGAATCTGGTGAGTGTTTTGCAAGCGAGAAAGTCTCGGCTGATCGAAGCCGCCCGGCAAACCAGAGAAGCGAGGGTGCGTTCGCTGAGGGACCAAGTAACCAGATGCGCCTCTCACTTGCAAGCGACCACGGCCCTTCTGACGTTCTGCATCGAGGCTCTGAAGGAAACGGACAGCGCGGCGTTCCTTCAGATCGGCGGCATGCTTTCGGTCCGAGCGGCGAACGCAGCCGGATCGTGGGGCGGCGCCGAAGGGGTCCAAGAGATCGCGAGGCTACCTCTGCTCGATCTCACGCTCGACGACAAGCCGCTCAGACGCGCCATCGATCAGCTCACCTTTGTCCAGCTGAAACGTGAGTCTCTCTCGAAATATTCTCTTCGAATCCGATTCGATTCTTCGATTCCGCTGCTGTCTTTAACGTGCCACGCGCGGCCTCCACTTTTCACTGCATGGTTTTTTGCTTCCCCGAACCAAAAGACACTCTGTTAAACATTCGAAAGTACTCGTAACTCGAGAGTTGTTATCGTTGACCGAATACAAGAAAGGATTGCCTCATGTTGGACGCAGCAACCGAGGGAGAGGAGCGATTTCCAACTGCAGGTAATTAACGTCCAGGGAACATTACACCGTCCGATTCTCCAAACTGAATTTCTAATAACTCGTCCGTCCGCTCGTCGAAAGACGGACATCCGATATCCGCGGCCCGTTTCTCGAGCTCTGACACGGTCGGACGAGCACCGACCGCGCGGCAAAGCTTAGAAACGTGAAACGCGACACGCGAAACGAGAAACGAGAAACGAGAAACGAGAAACGCGATTTCGCGCTTTACGATACTGTTGTTCCCAGAGCGCGGATATGACAAAGACATCGATCCGATTCCTCCCGAAAAGCCGAATAATCGTGCGAACGCTATCGATGACAAAAGCCTCTCGGCTTTCCGTTCCCATTTCTACGAACGATACGCGCGAATCTCTTATCCTCTTCGAATCGTTGAACGCTGAAAACTACCGGCTGGAACACCGATAACCTGGAACGCGTCGAACGCGACTCCGCTGCGATCGAATGGTCTAACGGCGAATAATTTTAGCACCAGGAGCACCTCTATTGATACCAGAGGAATGTAGCGCCGAAAACAATAGCGTGACCGTCGCTTGGCAGCCTCCTCCCGGGCACGGAATCACCGGATGCGGCGGCGGCCAACGAGGCCCGGCCATCGAGGGCTACCTCTTGGAGCTGGACGACGGATGCGGCGGAGAATTCAGGGTGAGTTTCATTCTCGAGAAGTCACCTTTACTACCCACTAACAGCCAGAGAAATGTCTCTCAAATTCAATGTTTACTAAACACGAGTCGACATTGAAACGTTATTTTCTGTACGCGCGCTGCCACGCGCACGCAGGAAGTATACTGTGGCCGGGAAACGATCTGCACCGTGGATGGATTGCACTTCAACTCTCTGTACAACGCTAGGGTGAGGGCGTTCAACAGCGCCGGAGAAGGCGAATATTCGGAGCTGATCGGTCTTCAAACAGCGGAGGGTAAGATTCCATCGGTGTTGTCTTCTCTGTTTCGCCCTCCATCCGTGCGAACGGAACGATCGAAAGAGACGCGACCAACGAAACTTGAGAATCGGTTATCGGTGTCGCGAGCAGTCCACTCGCAATGCTCGTTTCGAATAGGAAGGTGGAAGGTTCGTGGATGTCGCGTCGAATTCGTCCATTCGATTCCGTTGCACGAGAACAATGGTCGGCGGAGTATCGATTCGACTCGTCTCGAGGCGAGGCGAGGCGAGGCGAGGCGAGGCGAGGCGAGGCGACGCGAGGCGAGGCGACGCGAGGCGAGGCGACGCGCGCTCGCAGGTTATTAATCCGGAATTACCGTTGATCTGGCCGATAGTGGCGTGGTTTTCGTGGGCGACCGGATCGACGGGTATACCGCAGGAGGTGTCGATATCCGAGGACGCGATGAGCGCGTCCTGCGAGGGCTACGAGCACAGAGTCGTCCTTTCGAGCGTCGGATTTTCGAGGGGTGTCCACTACTGGGAACTGACCATCGACCGTTACCACAGCGACACGGATCCAGCGTTCGGCATCGCGAGGGCCGACGTGTCGCGAGATCAAATGCTCGGTGAGTCGTAAAGCTAATTCTTTTGGCCTGCTCCGTTCGTTTTCCCGTTTTCCCGTTTTCCCCGGCATTTGTCGGCCGACGCGCACGCGAGCCACGTACCCCGAGCGATTTCCGTTCTCTTCCAGGCAAGGACGACAAAGGTTGGAGCATGTACATAGACCGGCAGCGTTCCTGGTTCATGCACGGCGGCGGACACGCGCAGAGAACCGAAGGTGGCGTGCAGCAGGGCTCGACGGTGGGCGTCCTCTTGGATTTGGACACGACCCACACGCTTCGCTTCTTCGTCAACGACCAACCGCAAGGAGGGATCGCGTTTCGCGATCTATACGGCGTATTTTATCCAGCTGTCAGCTTGAACCGAGGGGTGACCGTCACTCTGCACACGGCTCTCGACGTGCCCCGTCATTTGTTGGCGCTTCACGAAGAGTACATGACCGATATCGTTCAGAGCTAGGGGTACCTAAACGTCCTGAAAAAGGGCTTGCTGCAGGAAGTCGTCGGAGCGGCCGGACCCGAGCTTTTCGAGAGACTCAGAGAATCCGCCGACGGTCAACTCGAGAAGATAATCGAAGAGAGCCTAGTCGAGACCAATTGACGGCAATCCTCCGATGACGGCCGATCTCGTTTCACCGGACGTTCGTCCGTTTTTCCCCGCGATCCTCGATGAATCGGTTCGTCGTGTTCGGAAATCTAGTCGCGTCTCGCTCCCAGAAACGCGGTTGACGCGCACCGTCAATTTCGAATCGCCGATTCCGCGTACCTTCGCGGCGCGAACTACAGAGAAAAGATACAGGAAGAGGATTCCAGCTCGAACGATCTTCGCGAAACGCGAACCGAACATGGAACAATGATCTCGTACAACCGAAAATATCTTGGGAGAGTAGGAACGACTCTTTCTAACGGACAGACAAACTTGACGACGCGCGAAAGGTTCGTCTCGTTTAGAACCACTGCCACTAGAGAAAGAGAGAGAGAGAGAGAGAGAGAGAGAGAGAGAGAATCGTCTCTCCGATCGAAGACTGCTATTTCGGGAAAGCATGGAAATCGACGTGTTCTTCGTCCCATGATCGCGCGCGCGATCGTCTTCTTAACCATATCGTCGCGTATAAGTGTACTCGCGTAGATTCATAAGCTCTATAGATAAGTATTTAATAAAACGCATTTCGAAGGAAGAAGGTAAGAAGGAAGGAAGCAGGCGAGCAAGCAAGCAAGCAAGCAAGCAAGCAAGCAAGCAAGCAAGGATGCACATACGCACGCAAACTGGTCAGCTTTAGCGTAAAATAACGAATCGAGTAAATGTTTTCTAGTCCCCGATAGGATCCTCCACTTTTTTTCCACGTTGTCCCCAGTTTTCCTCGTTCGGCCCAACTTCTCGCGTATCTCGCGTATTCGCGACATTTTCATTCGCATCGTTTTCCATCGTTTTATACCTGAACGTTCACGAAGAAGGCGAATACTTTTAAACTACATGTTGCAGCGCGAACCCTCGTGAAACCGCTCCTCCAGCGACGAGGAGGATCAACGTCAGCGTTGTACATAATTGTACATAAATGTTTCGATTGTACCGCCGATCAACTTGCCAATTGTATTTACGACTGTATCCGATCAATAAAACGCACCGAAAGACACCATTATCTTTGCGTTGTCCACGATTCTCTTTTCTCTTTTCTCTATTCTCGTTTCTTGACTCGTCCTCGCCCTCGCAACGAAATCGGACTCGAACGGCCGCAAATCGAAAGCTATTTCCCTCTTTGTCTAGCTGTGTATATATATGTATATATATATGTATATATATATAGGAAAACATAGGTCGCGTTTTCTTTGAAAGTTCGCTGGTAATGAAAACGTGGAAAAGAAGGAGGAAGAGTTAGCAGACGATGCGAGATCATCCCACCTGTCGTTTTCGTTGCGGGACCGATACTCATCACTCTGATGGCTTTCGTTTAATACCTCCGTTCGTCGTGGCCCGTGTTTCGAGCAGCTGACGCGTATCCAATCCCTTCGTCGGCGGTTGATATGCACGAATACGCGCATTCAGACCACGGAGAGGTCTCCCGTACCTTCTGCTTTTAAAGGAACGCGAATTTCCCACTTTGATCTCTGTCTCGCTCGTTCGTTCGAATCCCCTACCAAAGAAGTTCTCGCTTCCAGTTACCAGCGAATCGAATCGAGGTCGTAGTTATCCTTTTTCTTCTGGTATTCTCGTCTATTCCGTCGAACAGCAATCGGTGTCGCCGTTCGATCGTGAGAAGCCCCGTGGATCCGTTCCGAGTCGGTTTGCTTCGAGCGAACGCGAGAGCGCAAAGAATCAGACCGAAAGATGGAAATGCGCAGCGCATCGAATACGGGGAAACGTCGAAAGAATAGGTTCGCCCGCGAGAAGCCTCGTGTTACCTCTTGTGGAGCGAACTAGAAGCCAGGAAAGTGGTGCAACGCTAGACTCACCGCGGAGTTTCATCTTTCACCGCAAAACCGGGCCGAGAGGAAGCAAAGCCTGTCTTGTGTTCGGACTCGCCTGTAGAAATCGAAACGGCACGGTCCGAGGTAGCGCGATGGTTTCGCAATGAAACGTCTCGGCTCCCCCCATTCTCCCTCCTCTGTGGAAAACGGAGAAAACTCTTCGACGCGAGACGCTCCGGTTGCGCTTTTAACGACCGGCGTAATTTTCTTATCCGCAAGATCCGGCCCCAACAGCCTCGAACCGCGCGACACCGTTGCTTTTACGTTTCTCCGCTGATCACGGATCAGATTAGATCGACGATCCACGGATTTACGATCCACAATTTCCGGTGAATAGAACGCGCTTCGCTCGAGGAGGCTACGAGAGCGAGAGATTTCGCGTTCGTGACGGCGTGCAACGCGAGAGAGAAATTGTGAAACTTAATCTCCGATTAGACCGCGGCGGATTAACCGCGACCCATCGCTACCGCAAACAACTTTGATCGACGCTTCGCGTTTCTTGGTGTCTACGCGAGGCTCGGTACAATTGAAAAATCGTTACCTCGGGACGTTCGGAAAGCAGGCGCGACGAACGCGTCTCGAATTAACCTTGCCACACGTGTGGAACAAAGCGCACCGTGCGACATATCGTCGCAATATGTAATTACGCACGATTTATTCCACCGTACCAATCGCTTCATATTTTTTTCCTATACCGTACGCCTGTGTGTACGCGCGCGTGCGGGTACATCCGTGTAAGCGAGTGTGTATGTCGTACAATAAATTCATTCTTCCTTCAAAGTGTTTAGTATTCAACAAACAGTATTGAGAAACATAATCGGTCGTATCGTTCGCGGACAATGCAAAAGGAACGAACCGATATACAAGATAAAGTACAGCGCGACGCGGCACGGTTCGACCAAACTACCACGATTAGGAGTTATGAAGAACTTTATTAAAAGCGTTGTAAGATGTTTCCAAGTCGAAGATCAGTTGCCTTACTTGAGTGTCGGATAACTCGTCGGATGCGGACATGTTATTCAATGTTTGTAACCATTCTGCAACTTTTTCTTTCCCGTCGAAATCGCTCGGTAATATGCTCAAACGATTCATAGTGTCCATCAAATCTCTCAAATCCGGATGCAGCTGATCCATGGCTTTGATTTCTAATCTTAATTTGTCCATCAATGTTATAAACAGGGATACAATGTCCGCGATACATTTAGAAGTATTTCCTTTATCGTCTTTTATCGTGATGGGTCTGTCTTCCTTGATTCTTTCCAGAGCAGCCGGACAATCCAGTCTAAACGCCCTGGCAAAAGCATCTATCGTAGGAAACTGATCGCTCTGCACCTGAAACGAAATCTAAGATGATCCAAAAACTTGGAGAGTTCCTTAACGCGTATCTTACAAAATGAACTACCTGTTTAAAAGCGGCTCTGTATTGCACCAACAGTTTGCTGCAAGCAGCAGTGTATTCTTTCGGCGTGACACAGTCCCTGATGTAAGCCTTCTCCAGATGTTGCAGAGTATTAACGACGGCGTACAAATCTGCTTGATTGTCGTGCTTTTCTCTTTCTCTGGCATTCTTGTAGAGTTTCACCTCTTCGTAAAGTTCGGGCCGATCTTGTGCTACCGACATTATTGTGTCCTGCCCAGTATCCTACAGCAACATCAAGCGCGTTAAACGTCAAACGTTGGAGGTTAGGATCGCGGACACGAAAGTCATAAACATTAGGAAAATTGTTTACAAAACACCATAGCGTAGAACTTGGAGTAGATTCGATAAAAATCACAGAGTTGAGCGTGCTACGTGTTATTCGACTGTTGAAAGTACAAATCAAAATGTAAATAATAATAGAAATGACACGCAAAAGCAACGCACAGTCTCGATCCCGATGCAATGATCGTACACAGTTTTCATCTGTCACGGGTTTCTTTAAATCGTAGAGATAAAATATAATTGTTAAACTCACATAAGAATAACAAACTGCGCTCGTACCAATTAACGAAATTGTTCGATGTACAACATTCAACGTTTAATGTCACGCATCGGATGATGAATCACCCGCCATCTATAACGATGACAACCAAACGAATAGTTTCTGTTCTAACTGTAGATACAGCAGATTCGAATATTGCATTATAAACTCATAAATAGATGTTTATATATTACATTAATGTAAAACGATGCGTTTCGTTTTCAACGGGTGAATTAATAATCGTAGTTGCTGACGAAGCGATTCATTATCCTCCGAAGGTACAATCATTTTACGTTGCGATCTTACCAGGCTACCGCTTCCTTCCGGTAGAGTGCGCTAGCATGGCGAGGTAGTTTTTTCAGCTGTCGGTAATTTCTTCGGCAGTTTCGGCGTTTCGTCACGGATGGCGCCACAAGTCAAAGAACAGCTCT